ACCATTAATTTCATTCATCATATATCTCCTAGTCAAACACAAGATACAATATCAAAAACATCATAGTACAAATATCCAAATAATGCGGAAATCATGAGGGGATGATGTTGTGCCGTCACGTCGAGCTACCATTTCGTACTAGAATTACTTGAAACCATATATGTAAACTGTAAGTACAATACTTAATGAATTTCCTAAAGTACCACATACCAAACATACAATTGGGCCTAGCCTTGGGGTATATTGCAACCCAATACATAATTATGGGCCTAGCCCTAGGGCCCAACCCTAGGGTTTTTTCCAACCCAATCATACAATAATGGGCCCAGCCCTGGGGTTTATTTCAACCCAACATGCAAACACATAAGAGTTACAAGCATCTAGAATCATACATACACAATTTACTGGGCCGACATTGGTGTATTCGACCCACAAGCACAGTGAGAAGACTCACCTCTAACTGAAGATAACTGAATCACACACTCGAGTTGCTGCTAACACGACTCCTCACACTAATCATAACCCAATAACAACCTTAATTAATAATCAGGGTTTAACCTATAATTAATATATGTTCACTTCTATGAAGTGTTGTCTTGCCGAGAATCCACACGAACTTTTGAATATTTGTTTTAGCTCGTCAAGGAATGTTCCTTGAAAGAACAACTCATATGTCAAGAAGTCAGTGGGAGTCATATTGATCTTGAGAGTTTCAAGAGTCAATCGACAATAGACCTTTTAGTTAGCACTAGCATGCGACCTGAGGTTGATAACCTGTCATGTTTGATTGACACATTCTTATTTTTGTGCACTTCTAGTTGAGTTAGAAATGCTTATGAGTTCTATGTTTTCATTTAACTGCAAAAGCAAAAACGTGTTGGTCGGTGAAAGTACATTGGTCAATATGGATGAGTTACTAACAACATGGAAGCACTGGTACGCCCTTGAGCTGCCAGAAGGCAAGAAATTATTTATAAAAAATAGCAAAGTTCGGTACATAAAGGAAAAATGAATTTGATTTTGGTTTTTCCTAAACCTTGTCTTATGATTGTAGGTTGGAAATGATAGATTCACATGGATGGGAATGTATGCACCATAAAATCTAAGTGGCAAAGGTTTTGCTCTGACTCATGAAAATGATTATGAGGAAATACCATCGCTAATAGATTTTGAAGATCTGATCTATATGTTAGTTGTGTAAATTGCATTCTCAAATGCACAATAAGATTATGACATCCATCTTCATATTTTAAATTTTGAGGAATGGCAAGGAATTGTTTGAACTTTTCAAGTGATATATCTATCTATCTTGAAAGGGGTTAAATACACACATAATCCAACTACGGTGTATAAGCTTAAGAAGTCTATTTGGAGATTTATCGAAGCATCGCATAACAGAAATCTGCACTTCCTTAAGAAAGTCAAAGAGTATTGATTTCTAGAAGTCCAGTTGATTTATGGAGACATGTCAAAGCTAGTGGAAGCATAATTGTTATGTTGGTATTGCATGTTGACAATATTGTTTATATGGAACAATGTGTCTGTTTTTGCAAGTTACAAAGTTCGGAAAATATTTCGCTATAGTGGACTTAAGGGAGATGACACTCATACTTCATTTTGAGTCAAAAGGTTTAGATCGTATGGTTTAGTAGAACTTAGTCAAAGACATATATGAATATCATGTTAAAATGTTTCTACATAGGAGATTCCATATATAGGAATATTATAGCAAAGAACTGAACATATATTAAATCCTTGTACAGAACATAATGAGTCGAGTCACATATGCTTCAGATATAGGATCGATCACATATGTTATAATGTTCACTTATTCTAATTTTTATAATGCCTAGAGCATTGTCTGAAAAGGATTAGAATTTTTGTGACTAAGGTTGTTAAACAACTGTCAAGAACATTCTAAGGTTTTAGCAACGATTGGTGCTAGTGGACAGTTAGAAGTATGACAATATTTGGAAAGGACCATAGTAGCACGTTTTGGATTGAGATGATTCTTGGTCAGAATTGATGGTCATATAGAATATGGAAATGTTTCCATGATGGGATATGTTTTCAAAATCTACATATGAGTTAGAACCCTTAATGCAAGAGAGGTGTTCAAGGAATGTATCTTGAATTGAGACTTCATAATCAGGGAATTGTTTCTAATAACAACTTCCAACGGAGCATTATGTAATATCGTAGGTTCAGTCTCTATGACTTTAGAGCCTCGGCATCACATGACGTCAATGCATGTAAAGTTGGAATTCCACTACATCTTAGACAATAATAAGAATTTGAAATTATGAACTTTGCATCATTGGAATAGTGTCCAGTGGATCTATTCACAAAGGAATGACCATAGAGAGGCATAGTATGTGTAACGCCCGTGTTTCGAGACTAAGCATTGATGCAATGATGTAATAGTCTAGGTCAACCATTATAACCCATTTTAAAGTAATAAAGAGGAGTTATTTGAATATTATGTGAATTATGTGCTTTTGTGTGCTTATTACTTGTTTATAATAATATAATAAATAAAGGATAAAAATAAGAGTCAAAATTAAAGTGCGAGATAAACCCGATATCGATACATGAAGTGGTAGTGGTCGTGACAAGGATTCTGTAGATAAAAAGAACGCCCAAATCTGACTTCATATGAGGAAGTTATGATTTTTCTAAGTTTCGGATCGGCAGTGCACAGCCCGAAGTTCGAATAGTAGATCGGTCGATTGTTGGCCGACACAACCCAAATGAGAATTGAAGATCTCGTCAATAGGAGCACAACGATAAAAACACAGACGAAAACGGAGTCCGTATGTAGAAGTTATGAGTTTTACACGGTCGTGTAAGATTGTAATCTTCTCATACTATTCAATTTAAAATCGGTCAAGAATTAATCGACGAAGTCTAAACGAAAATTGTAGAGTACAGTCCCACCTATGCGTGGATATAAAGAACGTCGAAAACAGAGTTCGTACGTGAAAGATATGAATTTTTGAAGTTGGAGTGGGAAATCACGAAGGCTGTACGAAGGGGTACGCCCAGCGTACCTGCGGACGCTGA